ATAGGAACAGAATGAGTTGGAAGGGACCTTGGAGGTCTTCTAGTCCATCCCCTCACCCAAGCAGGAGACCCTATAGCATTTCAGACAAACGACTCTCCAATCTCTTCTTAAACGCCTCCAGCGATGGAGCACCCAGAACTTCTGGAGGCAGGCAGTTCCACCGGTTCATTGTTCCCACTGTCGGGATTCTCCTTCGTTCCAGATTGCTTCTCCGCTCGATTTTGGAAAAAAACACCTTTGGGACAACCACGACCTGCATGGCTGACAGTCTCCACGGAGGCCCAGTTACGACGACTGGCCTCTCCGGACAGCGTTAGAATAGAATAATAACTTTAATGGTCACTTTGAATGTGCGCTCTTCGGCCTACATGAAAAGATGACATTCTTTTTTTTTTTTCCTTTTAATTGGGGGAGCTCCCTGCCTGCTTCAGACCCTGGTGGGTGCAGGGTCCGAGTCCGCCCAAGCCCCCTCCCCACCTTGGAAGTCCCTTTTGTGACTCCTGGGAAAGGATGGGCCCCACCCTTGGAAGAGAGGATGCGGTCAAGGCAGGACGTCCCTTCAAGGGCCTCTTAATTTGGGTGGATATTTTTCCCCCCCCCCCCCCGTCTCCTTTCCGCACTCTGACCGTCTCCTTCCGCTTCCTGCTCGGTAGGACCCAGCCGCCCCCCAGCCTCCCCGTGGGACCCAGCCACAAGCTAGCCGACAACTACTACTGCACGAGAGACGGGCGCAGGGAGGCCTTTCCGCCCATTGTCCTCATGGCGGCACAGAAGAAGCTGGCGCCCGGAGCGGAAGCAGGAAGGTAGGCCTCCCCCCCCTCCGCCCCTTCGGCCACCCCACGGAGATCCAAACGACGGAGGCCTCTTTTGCAAAAAGGGCCCGCTTTCCCTCCTTCCTTCCTAGGGAAGCATCGTGGGGAGCCCAGGTAAACAGATCCTTGTTTGCCGACGCCATTTTCCGGCTTTTTGAACATTGGTTGAACCTCCAAAGCTCTTGGCTATGTGTGGAAGAATTCTCCTTCTGGGTTCGGTTCCAAGTGGGGAAAAAGACACTGGAAACATGGAGGCTGTTTGGGAAGATGGTTTAATGGTGGACGGGACCACGTGCCTCGGAGCTCCAAAGAAGGAAAAGGGCTGAGATGCTGAGAGGGATGCTGGGTTTTATACCCTCTGTTGGGATTTGAATTGGAGCTTGTGTTCTGATTGGTGGTCAGGCTCCCATGGGGCCGTGCAGGGGCAAACTCTGATAGGCTGTCCTGAGTCCCAGTTGAGTCTTGCTGGGTGATGATGTCATGAAAAGGGCTTTGGCCAATTCCTATTATAGCTCCCCCTGGAGTAGATCTTTGTTATGTAAAATAGGCTGGCCCAGACCTTAATGGCCCACTCATTAACAAAGGTGGGGGTGAGTTTCTGCTCTTTTTTAGAGGAAATATTCTGCCTTTTTTTTAGTACATCCTAAAATATTTCATTTTCCTAGGAGAGGGGCGGGTTTTAACTTCCAACAGCTATTTTGGTGCTTTCAAAAGGGATGCTCCAAGCCTACCCCTCTTGCAACAGGAACATGCTTTTGGGGGGGGGGTTTAAAGGCCTACACACACACACACAAACACACAAACACACAAACACACACCCAGATTTTCCCTGGCTTGGTTCTCAAAAGCTGTGAGGTTTCTTGCTTGGGAAGCTGGGGGAGAGAGAGAGACAGGCCTTTTATTTACGTTATTTGTGGCCGTTTGGAGCCGACCTTCTCTCTTGTCTGCCATAAAATAAAAAAAGGTGTGCCATAAAACAATTTAAAGCATTGATGGAAGAAATATCCTCCTGGGTTCAGTTCCAAGTGGGGAAAAAGACACTGGAAACATGGAGGCTGTTTGGAAGGTTTAATGGTGGACAGGAGGACCACGTGGTCTGGGGCTCCCGAGTGCAAAGGAAGGATGATCACATGCTCCAAGGTGAAGGAAGAGATCGAGAAAAGGGGGGCTGAGGTGCTGAGAGTGCCCGGATTTTATAACCTTTGTTGGGATTTGAATGGGAGCTTGTATTCTGATGGGTTGTCAGACTCCCATGGGGCCGTGCAGGGGCAAACTCTGTAGGCTGTCCTGAGTCCCAGGCTTGCTTGAGCCTTTGCTGGATGATGCACTGAAAGGGTTTTGGACAATTGCTATAGCTTTACCTGGAGATCTTTGTTATGTAAAGGCCCAGGCCTTAATGGCCCACCCATTAACAAAGGTGGGGGTGAGTTTCTGCTTTTGAGTTTCTACTCTTTTTAGAGGAAATATTCTGCCTTTTAAATATTTCCTAGGATATTTCAATTTTCTAGGGAGGGCGGGGGCTGGACCGAGAAGGTAGGACTGGGCCAGCCACTCTTACTTATTTACGTTTGTTTTGTTAAATGTATTAAATTTCTATGCAGCTCGTCTCCTCTAAGGCGATTCAGCTTTTCATGCCTAAGGTGGGACTAGAACTCACCTATCCTGGCTAAAAGTGACCCAGCCAGCTTTCATACTTAAGGCGGGACTAGAACTCACCGTCTCTGGTAATAGGCCAATTCTCCCAGCCAGTTTTCATGCCTAAAATGGGACTGGAATTCGCCCTCTCCTGGCCCAAAGCCACCCAGCTGCCTTTCATTCCCAAAGCAGGACTAGAACTCACTCGCCTGGTGCCTTAACCACCAGAACAGGGGTCTCCAACCTCCGTGGACTTAAGACTCGCGAACTCAACTCAGCAAAGCTGGCTGAAGAATTCTGGGAGTTGAAGTCCACAAGTCTTAAAGTGGCCAAGGCTGGAGACCCCAGCCCTAGAACCAGGTGGCTCTTTTCATCCGTGAGTTGACAGCCTGGGGACACATCCAGCTTGGGGAAGGTGTTCTTACAGCCTCTGACTCTCCCCGTTTCTGACCCACAGCTCCGACTCTTCCGTCACGAGGACGGAGAAGCTGCCCGTGACCCCTGGCACCCCCCCTCGGAAGTGGGAACTGTCCAAGGACGAGCCCTATTTGTGAGACTGTCCCCCGGGGGCTCCAAGGCAGGGTTGCTTGAGAGCAGCCAGTCGGGTCTTGGTACTTGCTAGGATGAGCATCACCACCTAAGGACTTTTTTCTCCACCTGGGCTAATTAAATAAATGCAACCCATGATGTAACTATTAAGTTGTATGTGATTTTAAGGGGCGTGTTGGGCTGGGAAAATAGAATTTGAGGAGCAGATGTTGGAATTGTTAACCCAGCTCTAACAGCCAGAATAAACGAAGGCACAAGATATTGGTTAAGAGTGGATTCATTTATTAAATTTCTACCCCACCCCATCTCGCCTGACTGCAGCTGGGAGACAGCCTCACCCTTCATGTAAATACAGGCATAAATTAAAAACAGAATGGAAACAGTTTACAGGACCACAGTTGAGCCCAGAATCTAAGTTGCTAAGTAAGATAAGGGAGCTATGCCCCATTTTACAACCATCTTCACAGTTGTTAAGTGAATTGCTGCAGTGGTTAAGTTTAGTCACATGGTCTTTAAGTGAAACTGGCTCCCCCTACCCCATTGACTTTGATCTTATGACCGAGGGACACTGCAAGAAATATGAGCAGCCGGATGTTGATCATGTGGCCATGGGAGAGGCTGCAATGGTTGTCTGGAAAACATCCCCGAGTCCCTTTCTCCGGTGCCTTTTTAGCTTTGTCACTAAATGAAGTGACAGAACTACCTGTACAACTTTCAGGATATGAAGTATAAAGGTATGGCGAATGGATGGATGGATATAGATGACAGAGATGATAAACAGATATAAAGATAGATATAAACAGATATGACAGATGGTAAATAGGTAAAGATAGATGATAGATATATAGATGATATAAACAGATGAGAGATAAACATAGATGACAGATGACAGGTTGTACTACCTGTACAATTTTCAAGATACAAAGTATCAAGGTATGGAGATTAGATTAGTTGGATGGATGGATGCATAGATAGATATATAGATATAAATGATATGATAAACAGATATATAAACAGGTATGACAGATGATAAACAGGTAAAGAGATTATATATAAACAGATAAGATAAATGTATAGATAAGCATAGATGGCATGATAAACAGATATAAACAGGTGACATGATAAACATAAAGGCAGATATAGATGGCATCATAAACAAGATATAAAGATATAGATGGATGGAGGACAGAATTAGACAATCATACCAGATAATAGAGATGATTGACAGATCGTGTCCCCCACACACACACACACTTTCCCAATATGCAGGGCTGGGGTTGACCAAAGCAAGCAGCCCAATTTCTGACACCCCAAATGGATCAGGTTGAACCTCCCTCCAGCTGAGCGGCTGCTTTGAGCCCCTAAGGCCCCCCAAATAACCCAGGAGGAGACACACAACCCCTTCCCCCCCCCCCCCCCCCTGCTAAGACAGCCGCTGGCATCTGGGAGCGACCCTGGCCGAAGCTTGTCCTGGAAAGGGGGCTGCCGAGCACAAGCCGAAGACTTTGTCGGTAGACTGCTCCTGAAGCAGGGGGCTCTTCTTTGCTGTTTCCCCCACGCCAAATCCCAGCGAGTTGGGGGAATCGGCTGAGCCCAGGGGTGGGGGAAGCAGCTGGAATTGCCCCCTCCCACGCCTCCCCAGACTCAGCAGCCTCGATTTGCAACCGGCCGCCGCCGCCGCCCCCCCACCCTCCATCCCTGGGACTCCGCCGTGCAAAGGACCCGAAGCGCATGCCGCGGATCCTTTCCCGCGGGGAGACTGCGCATGCGCTTTCTAACCGGCTGCACGCTTCCTCCCCTCCGCATGCGCGACTCGGAGGCGCGGCTCCTCCCCCCAGCGCCTTCTTCGCTATTGCGCAGGCGCGCTCCTTCTTCGGTGGTTTGCAAGCTGGCCGGGCGTTCAGTCGGTCAGACGGCGGCCTCGGAATCATGACGCGGTTTCTTCTCCTCTTGCTGCTGAATTGGGAGGCCGGTGAGCGGAGGAAAGGGAGGAGGGAGAGTGGGAGGAGGAGGAGAGGATTTTTTTTCCACACGACGGGCTCATTCATGCCCTCAAACACGTCCCGCGGGCGCCGATTGGTCGAGCCCCCATCTCAGGCCCCGCCCAGCAGGCGGCCATTGGCTGTTCTGCCGCCCCACCTCCTCTGGGCTCGCTTTCCACGCCCCCGGGCCGCACGTGCACCTCGTGCGTCCCCCCGCCCGCACTTTTCCAAGGTCAGAGGTGAGGCCGTTGTCTGGTTGCCAAGGGGAACGGGCCTACCTGCCCAAGGGGGGAAAGACGAGCCTTCCTCTAGTTAAAGACACCCAAAAAAAATCCCAGAGTCAAAAGTTTTTGCAGCAACCTGAAAGGCCTAAATGAAATGCTAAGGGGGCGGGGGATGTAGGATTAGCCCACCCCCACCCCAGCTTCTCTTAGCAGGTGCATTTGTGCAGTATTTGCCTCGCTCCTTGTGACCTCTCCTTATGCAGGATTCCTTACTCTGGCTCCCCGCGCTCTTTTCATTGATCTCTTTCAGTGCCTCGGGAGGGGTTGGACTCCCAGACCCAGAAGCCTCAGCCAGGGCCCTCTCAGTCCAGGCTTCCCTATGGAGGCCCAGGGTTCCCCCTGCCCCCCCCCCCCCCCCCCTTAGATCCTTTGCATTTCAGACATTGGCCTGGAATGGTCTAGGGTCTCCTGCTTGAGCAGCGGGTTGCACTAAATGACCTCTGAGGTCCCTTTCAACCCTGTCCTGTGATTCCAGGGTCTCCTGCGTCAGCAGCAGGTTGGGCTAGAAGACCTCCAAGGTTCTTTCTGCCTCTCATTATCCCATAAGGGCCTCCTGCTTGAATGAGGTGGAGATAATCTCTGAAGTCCCTTCCAACTCTGTCCTTCTAGCAGCAGGTTGGACTAGGTGACCTTCAAAGGTCCCTTCCAGCTCTGTTATTCTGTGAAATTTAATACTTCTGTATTTCCTTCTGCAGATGAGGATGGGCTCTGGATCCCTAGATTGGAGGGGTCCCCTTTGGGCCTTGGCTTATAGCCCCCCCCCCCCCATCAACCAAAGGGGGTTGGGGCTGCCCCAGCTCTTTTAAACCCCCCCCTCCTTTGCTTAGATTCCCTCCCCAAAGAATAAGTGGGGAGCAATTAAGCCACTGCAAAATAATTAGCACCTGAACCTAATTAGAGATTAAAATAGAGCAGCAAAAGCTTTGCAAGCATTGATTGCGTGTCCCGCTCCTCCCCCAAAAGATTGTCTCTAACACCATCTCCAAGGAGGGCCCCCCCTCACCCCTTCCCCATTGATGCTGGTCCCTTCCACCCTTCCCAGCCTGGGGGGCTTCTCAGAGGAGTCCAGGTTTTGCATTGATTGACTGATTGCCATCAAGTTTGCTCTTAGCAACCGATCTCCAGGTGTGCCACTGGGGCTTCACAGGATCCAGGTTCCAGCCCAGGAGTTTCTTTTAGGAAAAACCCAGATTGGCCTCGTAGGAAGACTTGCGCTTGTGAGCTGCCCAGGATCACCATGGGAGGAAGGCAGCCGTAGAAGTATATATCTGAATAAATACAGCCCTACGACCTCTTGTTAGAGTCACACTCTCTAACTGTGATTTGGGTTGGTCCACAAAACATTGTTTTATTTCACCCTGCCAACAAAATAAATAGTGGTTAGTTAATGATTACTTCCCTGGTAAAGATTCAAGGTCAGAGTGGGCTGAAAGATTTGCAATGGGGGGGGGAGGCAGAGAATATACCTGAATTTACTCCATTCCTTTTGATTCTTGCACATCCATCCTTTTCGACACCTTTGCCTCTCTTTCGACATCTGATCAGCCTCCTCCACTCACTGTTTTCTCTCTTCCTTTCTGCCTGCAGGCCTCTCCTCTTCCTCCTGCCCTCTCGAGAGCTTCCAGTGCCAAGGGGGAGGCCAGGTGCCGTGGTGCCTAGGCTACGAGAGGCAGCCCAGCTGCCAAGATGACACAAACGGGTGCCAGCAGCCGGGAAGCATCTGCAGGAATCACACCTGTCGGTGCGGTAACAGCAGTGGGCCCTGCCTGCCATTTGAACGGTTTTGCGACCAGCACCAGGATTGTCCAGATGGTTCAGACGAGGCCAAGTCCCTTTGTGCGTCCCCGGTGGGCCTGCCCGAGGAGGAGGACGACGACTGCGAGAGCAACGAGTTCCGATGCCACCCGGGGGCCGAGTGCTTCCCCCTGTCCTTCAAGTGCGACGGCCACCCGGACTGTGAAGACGGAGCCGACGAAGAGAGCTGCGGCACGGATTGGCCAGAGACTCCAAGGACCCCACAAATAACTCCCGAAGGTGGGCTGAGCTGTGGTCCGATTTTGGGGTGCCAAACGGCGTTTCTGCTGGCCGGTCTTTCTTTGAATTGCAACTTCGTTTTGTAGGCAATCCGGAGCGAGCTACCTTTGCCCTCGTGGTGTCTGCTTGCTGAAGCTGCACCTCGCTTGCCGTTCGGTTATATTTTGTATTTCGCTGTACTCCGCTTGTGATTATATGCTGTTTATAACTCCCAATCCACCGGGTTAAAGTAGTCTGTAGATTAGAAATATATACCTTGTGTAGCTGGCTGGGAACGAGAGAAGCTTGGGGGCTACTCCTGGCAATACTTTTTGCTCTCTCTTTTTTTTCTCTCTACATTCTGCATTATTTTTAACCAGAAAGAAAATTAGCAGGATGGGACTCTGTTGCTTCCCCTGTTGTTCCTGCATATATCTTCACCCTGTGCTTCATTTGGAGAGACGAAGGAAGTTTAGAAGCTCCCGTGAGAATCCCACCCTCCGCGGTGGTTTCCCCCTTTTTGGGCAGAGCCGTGTCCTTGGCACCTGGAAGGGCACAATGCCATCTCCTGGAGGAGGCTGCCAGCCAGGTCCTGCCAGATTACTTTAGAATTTGATTTAGAATTGCTTGAGATTTCAAGGTATTGTGGCGGAGTCTGCAGAGGTTACCACGTCCCACTTTTTTTTTTGTTTTAACAGCAGCACGAAAAATGGGTGTGTGTGCCCACCCTGCCTCCAGTTATAGTGCTGAAATAAAGTAAATCGGAGCATTTGGGCATCTGCGTTCTGTTCGTTCTCATCTTCGGTGCTGATTCGGGATCAGTTCTTCCCTTCTGTAAATCTGTTATTATCTTTTTGCATCGGGCTGATTTTGAGAATGCTGGGAGAGAGAAAAATTAAATTTTACCGCCCAGACCTAAAGCTTGCTGTGTTTTGCTGTTGGGGGCAGTTCTGAATTTCCAGCTTCTACACCGGGTTCTGCCTGGGCCAGAGTCGCCCAAGGGATCCACAGCAGGGAGTTTGCCAATGACTGCGGCCCACTCCCCTTACGTTCTGACCCTGGCTCTCCCCCTCCCCACTCTTTCCTTGGGGTGACTTCGGTTGCCTTCTGCTGCTTCTAATTAATTGGGAGGCTTAATTCAGTATCTCTCTAATCTTAAGGCCTTTAACTCTTAATCCACATCTGTCATTTACGGAGGTTGGTGTAAATTGGACTTGACAGCATTCCCTTTCCCAATCCCTTTCATTTCTTGGCCCCATTTCCAACTCCCTTTGGTGTGCCAAATGCCGCTTGTCCCCCATACGTGCAAAAGGGCAGGCGTGTTTTCAGTCTCTCCTCTTTCTCACATGTTTGCTTATGTGCGTCTTTAAACCCACCCTGCTTAAAAGACCCTGCCTGAATACTGCTTTTAGCCAACCCTATCAGAATACATACCAGGACACCCTGAGATGTTTAAAAAAAAACCTTTCGTTACAAGATGAATTTAAGAAATAAATAAATGAAATCGGGAGAAGTCCAGTAGCACCTGTTCTGACTTTTTTTATTTTATTTAAAAATGAAAACAAGCTGCAGATCAAGGAAGTTCTGCCTTTTCATAAATGTTGGGAAATTAAATTAAATGCTGTTAAATCCCTTTGGAGGTTTTTGCCACTCTAGACTTAAACCCAGCTCTCTGCCTTACACGGAGATGCTTGAAATACTCTGGCTGCCTTCCCTCCGACCTGGGTCTCTTGGCCTAAATGTGCTGACAGGACCAATGTCTAAGGCAGGGGTGTCCAACCTGGGCCCCTTCTGGGAGTTGAAGTCCACAGGTCTTAAAGGGGCCCAGGTTGGACACCCCTGGTCTAAAGGTTGCATCCCCAGATCTGGGTAACCGCGGTCCCCGTAACCCACCGGTGGGACACACCAGGACCGTTCAGGGAGGCGGCTGCTGGCCTGCCTGCCTGCCTGAGAGGAAGAATCCAGAGGGAAGGTGCTTCCCTTGGAGGGTCTGACTATTTATCGCCTCCCCAAGTTGCATAATCATTCCGGTTTGGTCTGATCCGACTCCCCCAAACTTTCCCAAGCCATAAATAACTGCTTGCAACAATCTTGAGTTCCTCGCAGGATGTCTGTTTTGTGAGATACCTCAATGAAGCCGGCTTGTCTTTTTTCTGTTTTTGCATCCTGGTGCTTCTGTTTGTTTTGTTTCCTGCGTTATGTTTTCCTCCTGGGCCTCTTGTTCTCCTCAAAAGACCTTCTGACTTGGATGGCCTCTCGGTTCCTCAGTGTGTCAGCCCCTCTCCACGGCCCTGTCTCTCTCCCAATTGCTTTGCTAAGCTCCTCCTGTCTGTTTCTTTCAAAGAGCTAATTGTTTCTTCTGTAAGTTAGCCCATTTGAGGTTCCCAACGCAGGAGACCCTGTTCTGCCCAGGGAAAGGCTGTAAGAATAAGAGTTTTATAGAGATGGATGGATGGATGGAAAGTGGTAGATAGATAGATAGATAGATAGATAGATAGATAGATAGATAGATAGATAGATAGATGATAGGCAGGCAGGCAGGCAGGCAGGCAATTGGATGGATGGATGGATGGGTGAGTGGGTAATGATAGACAGACAATGGAATGGATGGATGGATGGATAATGAAAGAAATGAATAGATGATCAGTAGATGATGGATGGATAGAGATAGATAATGATAGATGGATGGATGGGTAGATTAGATGTAGATAGATGATAGAGAGAGAGATAATGATAGAGATAGATAGATGATAGACAGAAAGCAAGAAAGAGATTAGCACAAGTCATGAATTCAACATACTTAAATGCATCTCTGTGCCAGTCTCTTCATTTTTTTCCACAATTCATCCTTAATCCCATCCTAACATGGAATAAAATTCCGTTTTTATTTATCCCCCACCACCACCACCATGTGTATTACATTAATGTCTGTTTTTTCCTTCGACAGGCAGCCCTGCTCCCCCAGAAACTCCGGCATTGGACCTCTTGACCATCCTGGCCATTGTCGGTGAGTCAGACCGGCCAGGCGATCTCCATCTCCCCCAACAGAATTGGGGAAAGGTTCTGGTTTGCAATGCCGAAATGGCCTCGCGAAAGGAGCAGGCCAGCCATCCTTGGCTTCAGGGAGGGGGGGGGCGTTATCCCTTGCTCAAGGATGCTCAGCGGCCTCTGGGCAGGAGCGGAGGCTGATCATCCGGGGGTACAGATAGTCCTTGACTTATGACTCCAGGGGAGTCCAAAATCGCCACGGCTAAGCAAGACAATTAGGAGGTGGGTTTTGCTCCATTTTACGACCTCGCCACAGTTGTTAAATGAATTGTTCAGTTAGTCCGATTGTTCGATGAATCTGGCTTCCCCGTTGATCCCGCTTGCCTGGAGGTCGCAAAAGGCGGTCACGTGACCTCAGGACAGCGCCACCGTCAGAAATCCACCTTTTCAGTGCTGTTGTAACTTCGAGTGGTCACTAAAGGAATGTTCGGTCAAGGATTACCCGATCGATTTCCATCATCCTGGCACCAAACACGGGGCGGCAAAAGCCATTTTTGGTTCGGTTACGTGGAAATACTGTGGAAATTCCTGCTTTTGGGAGTCTCCGTGAAAACGATCATTCATTCAGATGATTAAGGCAATGTGTTTTAAACAAACCGCCAAGGGGATGGTAAGTGGGGATATGACTGAAAATACCAAGAAGGGAACAAGGCAAGGATGCCCCTTGTCGCCATTACTATTTGCGCTGACATTAGAAGTACTAAATAGAAATATCAGACTAAAGGAGATAAAAGGCATGGAAATAAAAAAAGAGGGAAATATGAGCTACAGGCATTTGCAGACGATTTTGTTTTTATTCCAGAAGATCCATTAGAAAGAGGACCTAAGTGAATAAGGATACGATATCCTTATTCACCTCCTTAATACTATATGATGCGGGAGCTATTTTATCGATGGCTGGAGAATAAATATGGAAGTTAGAAAATAAAGGAGGCTAGCGAGAAATAGGGAGCATGTGGATAGAACAGTTAAGATGGGGATTGTCATAAGAATTAGATGTATTATGTATATCCGTATGAAGTAAAAATAGAGTATTAAAGCTGAAGTGATGAATATGTATAAACTGTAATTGTTGTTGCACAAGATATTTGTACCCAGATGACACACTGTTTAAACCAGAGGCCCCCAAACGCGGCAACTTTAAGGCTGGTGGACTTCATAGCTAGCTGGAGAATTCTGGGAGTTGAAGTCCACCGGTCTTAAAGTTGCCACGTTTGGGGGCCTCTGGTTTAAATGGAAGATGGATTGTTAAATGGGAAATGACCGGGGTTGGTGGGCCTCTCCCTCCCGTGGCCATTCCAGGAAGGAGGCCGGGTTCTGACGCTCCCCTCTCCTCTCTCTTCCCTCTGCCTCTTTTCTAGCACTCCTGGTCACCGTTGTGGCCGCAGCAGGGATCACCCTGTGGCTCTCCAGAAGGGGCAAGGGGCTCCTTGCCCAGTTGCCCCACAAAGCAGCTTTCAAGCAGCTCATCCTAGCCGAGCACCTTTGAGATCGGCCGGCCAGCCAGGTAAGCCCCCCCCCCCCCAAATCTGATTGCCCGGCCTTAGCTGGACTTTCTGTCCCTGGGAAGCTTCAACACCGGGACCCCCACCCGATTCTCTCTCCGCCTTCTGCACCTGCTTCCCCTGCCCAAGGACTTTGCCTGACTTGGGGCTGGACACCTTTACTACGTTCTCCTTTACTACGCTGTTACGTCCCGTATGTTCAGCTCGCCTCTTGTGATCAGAATCAGAATGAGAATTCTTTTATTGGCCAAGTGTGATTGGACGCACAAGGAATTTGTCTTAGTGCCAATGCCCTCCGTGTACATAAATCTCACAGACGGGGGTGCCACCAGCGCAGAGCGCGATGTTTAAAAAATACAGTATTTTCTTGAGGTGGGCGTTGGGAGAACATGGCAGTGTCCCAGTCCTGCCCTGGACCACCTCGGCCCAGCGGTTTCGGGAGTGGCACCCCAAGGAAGCAAGGCCCAGGCAGTTGGCCGAGGTCCACTCTTTCCTTTTTTGTAGGGTGGCGGGGGGGGGGGGGGGAAATACGGCTTCCCTCTCCATCGTCTCCTTCTGGGGCGTCCAGGCAGATCCTCAATCATCCAAGCAGCTTCTTCCATTCTGAAGAATTCCCCATCCTCTAAGTCAGGGGCCTCCAAACTTGGCCACTTTAAGACTGGCGGACTTCAGCTCCCAGAATTCCAGGAGCTCTGCTGGCTGGAGAATTCTGGGAGTTGAAGTCCACCCGTCTTAAAGTGGCCAAGTTTGGAGACCCCTGCTCCAAGTCTTGATTGTCCCCAAAGTGCTTTCTCAGCAGGCAAGTTAGACTTTCTGCTTAAGCCAAAACACCAGCAGCAGCAGCAGCAGCAGCTCACAGCAGATGCCAGTTTCTAGCAAGCAAGCAGGTTAGTTTCTGTTTCACCTTCGAGGTGAGCCGAGAGCAGAGCTAAACCAGGCCCAGGCTCTCTCTGAAGGTTTCAGCCCCAGTTCAGCTGTCCTGGGCTGACCTCGTTACTAAAGCTCCGTCCCAGTCCAGGAATCTCCTCTGACAGCTTCCAAGTAAAGAAATGGCTTCCCGGTCTCTTCTCGTCTTCCTTTCTTGCAGGAAGTTGCTCCTTGCTCCATCCCCGGCCCTCCCAGGAACGAAATCCTTGGGCCTGAAAGGCTGGCGGCCCGGCTGGGACTCCTTGCAGGAGCCGAGACACAGAAGCCACACGGCCTGCAGGCCGTCGACGGAATCCACCTCCTATGGGGGCAAATTAAAATGGACTGAATCCTTCAAATGCCTCTGGGTGTCTCTCGCGGCCTGCTTGGGCCTGTCCTTCCGCAGCAGCTCCAAGCCGCCAAATGCCTCGCTCGGACCAGGCCCTCAGCTGGGCTCCTTCCAGCACATGGATCCCAGCTCCCTTTCTCGGGGGGGTGCTGCTGCTGGGGTGAGGGTGGGGGGTGACTATTTTCTCCTGTTGGTGATTCCCCTGCCCGGTGCCTCCAGGGGCCGTGGGGGCTCCGTCTGTGGGGGTCTTCAAGAAGTGGCCGGACTGCCGTCTGTCTGAAATGCTGCGGGGGGGGGGGGGGTTCCTGCTTGGGCGGGGGGTTGGGCTAGAGGACCTCCAGGGTCCCTTCCGGCCCTGTTAATTCTGTTATTCTCAGCTTCTGGAGGTTTGGGAAGGGCTGACGGATTCTCCTCCCAGGGCTTTTCCTGTTGTGCTGCCCGCTGCCTGGTGGTGGAGATTGCCGCTTCCTTAAATTGCGTGGTGGTTGAGAAGGTGAGCTGTTTTAGGGCAGAAAAGCCACACACACACATTCCCCCCCCCCCCCCCGTCTTGTCCAGCTTGGGGGCCCTGCTTGTGCAGCCCTGGGGGTCTTGAGTGTGAGCATTAAAAATCATTTCCCAACCTTTATGGGCGCCTGGCTTCTTTTGTCCTCCTGGAATCTCCCCACCCCACCCCTCCTTAAAGCGTCCCCTCCCCACCCCTTCTCCAGACCCCTCCTCTTTCCATCTTTACTCCCAGCCTGCCTGCCTTTCAGGGCCGCCTTCCCCTCCGCTGGTCCGAGAGCTCCCCCTTACACCAGCCTTGAGGAGGGCCCCAACCAGAAACGCTGCTGTTCTCTGGGACTTCTTCTTTGAAAGCCCCAGGGTCTGCAGCCGTGGAAGTCCTACTAGCCCCACACACACACACACACACACCTTTGAAGGACTAGCCGTGGTCCAGCCACCACCACCACCCCAACCACCCATTTTGTGAGCCCAGGTAAAAGTGCCACCACCTTTGAGCATCTCAAGCAGGGGTCTCCAACCTGGGCCCCTTGAAGCCTGGAGGACTTCAACTGGCTGGGGAATTCTGAGCGTTGAAGTCTTAAAAGTGGCCGAGATTGGAGACCCCTGATCTAAAGCAGAGACAGGCAACCACGTCAACGTTACAACCTGTGGACTTCCCAGAATTCCTGAGCCAGCGTGGTTCACCCTGGTGGACACACCCAGGTGGTAAGGTTGACGTGGGTGCCCTCCCCTGGGTCTAAAACCCACTCATTGGAGATCAGAGCGGCCCACCCCATCCGCCCAGATTAGCTCCTTAGGTTGACATCTTAAGAGCCCAATCTGATTAATGCTTGTAAGGAGCTCAGGAGCAGCTGCTTCCACCTCCACCCAGTTCCATCCCTGGGACTCAGTGGCTTTGCGGGGCTCAGCTGGGCTGGCGGCACCTGAGCTCCAGCGGAGCTGCTAAGAGCAACCCGGAGGCTCCTCGGCAGTCAGCAGAACCCCAGCTCTCCCCTCAAGGCGTCAGCCACGGATGGTGGCCACGCAAGGAGCCCTCGGCCAGCACCATGAGGCCGACGGCGCAAAGGCGGGCCAGCCTCTCGGCCAACATGAGGTTCGGGGTCTGTCAGAAGTGCTGCCGGAGCCCCAACGACGTGGACCTCTTCATCCCCTTCTCTCAGGAGAAGCTGGTGAAGCGGTGGAGCTCCCTGGACAATTTGGCCGAGCGGGCCCAGGACGGCGATGACCTTCCCCACCTGCGCGATCCGCGTTTCTTGTCCCTGAACGTCGGGGGCCAGCACTTCCACATCGCCCTCCAAGTGGCGGCCAAGTACCCGCTCACCAGGATCGGGCGGCTGGCCACCTGCACGGACCCCGTGAAGCGGCTGGCCCTGTGCGACGACTACTCGGTGCTGAGGAAGGAGTACTTCTTCGACCGGGACCCTCTCGTCTTCCACTACGTCTTCCACTTCTACCGCAGTGGCGTCTTGTGGGTCCTGACGGAGTTCTGCTCAGCCAGCTTCCTGGAGGAGATGGAGTACTGGGGGATCCACCTGAAGTATGCCCAGCGGTGCTGCCGGATCCTCTTTGAGGAGCGGCATGACGAGATGGTGGAGCACCTGAAGGTCCAGCGGGAGCTGGAGGCCGAGATGGAGACGGTGGAGAGGGAGGAGCAGTTTGAGGGGAAGTGCCTGGGAAGCTTCCGGAAGGCCATCTGGAACCTGATCGAGAACCCGTACTCCTCCACCCTGGCTAAGATCACGGCCGTCTTGTCCAGCCTGTGCGTCCTGCTCTCGGTGGTGGGCATGACCCTCAGCACGGTGAAGGAGATGCAGGGCAAGGGCAGCAAGCGGTGCCTGGAGCTCCTGGAGACGGCCTGCGCCGCCTTCTTCACCCTGGAGTACCTCCTGCGCCTGGCCTCCACCTCCAGCCCGCAGCAGTTCTTCCGGGCGGCCTTCAGCGCCATCGACCTGGTCTCCATCCTGCCCTTCTACATCCAGGTGGCCGTGGAGTCGCTGGGCGAGGAGGACGCCAAGGACACCGAGGAGCTGCACCAGATGCGCAACGTGGGCAAGCTGGGCAAGATCCTGAAGCTCATCAAGCTGATGCGCATCTTCCGCATCCTGAAGCTGGCCCGGCACTCCACGGGCCTGCGGTGCTTCGGCTTCACCCTGCGGCAGTGCTGCCAGCCGGTCTGCTGCCTCCTCCTCTTCATCGCCATGGGCATCTTCACCTTCTCCGCCCTCATGCACTCCGTCGAGCACGACGTCCCGGGCACCAACTTCACCAGCATCCCCGACGCCTGGTGGTGGGCGGCCGTAAGTCAGCCCTCCTGCGCACGCCCCCACCCCCACCCCCGTGACGGGCTCCCGATCATCACAGCGGCAGGGCTGGAAGGGGCCTCGGAGGCCTTCTAGTCCAGCCCCCCCCTCCCCCGCTTGGGCAGGAGACCCCGTCCCACTCCAGAGCAATGGCCGCCCAGCCTCCTCTGAACAGCCTCCAGCGTCGGAGCCTTCGCAGCTTCTGGGGGGCAGTGGGTGAAAGTCCCAGGCAGGCGGCTTCTCTCCTTGGCGCCTTTCCACCCGGGGTCCCTTGCCCTGCCCTGGGGAGGCGGCTGCCCCCCCCCCCAAGTCCTGGAAGATTGTCCTCCCCCCCCCCGCCCCCCCCCCCGCTCGGCGGGGCAGCCCCGGTTCCCCCCCCCCCCCGGGGGGTTCGGGGCCCCCCCCCCCCGGAGCCCTGGGCCTCTTTGGGGCGGAGGTCTCCTTGGGAACGGAGAGGAGGCCCCGAGCCTCAGGTGAGTTGGCTTCAGCTCAGGAGGGCCTCTTTCCCTTCTCCTCCTCCCCCCCCCCCCCCCCCCTCCCGCTGCAGGTGAGCCTCTCCACGGTGGGCTACGGGGACACGGTGCCGGACACCTTCCTGGGCAGGGTGGTGGCCTTCGGCTGCATCAGCTTCGGCATCATCCTCAACGGGATGCCCATCTCCATCCTCTACAACAAGTTCTCCGACTACTACGCCAAGGTCAAGTCCCAGGAGGGCAAGACCAGCGTGGCCCTGAAGGCGCCCCGGAAGTACAACCTCCAGGAGAGGCTCTGCAGGAGGGTGAAGCAGTGCTGCTGAGCCCAGCCCAAGGGCCCCCACCCCATGCCCCATCAGAAGCCCCACCTCCGTGCCAGGCCGGCCTGCTCCCTCGCACCCGGGGCAGCTGGGATCCTCGGCCCCTCCAGACGCTGA